AGAATACGTTACCGAGTTCTATTCAACTGAAATGCAAAAGTAGCCTGATTGATCGTTTGGATTTTCACATAAAAACGCGCGGTTTTCAAATTGGTACAGAAATTTAATTTTTGTGCGCCATTTCGGAATCGGTGTATTTTTGTGTGCCAATTTAGAAAAATGAGTCATTTTGAAAACGGCTCGTTTTTTTGGTTACCGAATTGGCGCACAAAAATTAAATTTCTTTGCCAATTTGAGAACTGCGCGTTTTTATGTGACCACACCGTGGCAGCAAGAGCATATACCACTAGCGACATTGTTGCACGCTATAGTAATGCCCTATATGTTTGTATACACTTGACGTAAATTTCAACACATTACTGTATTGGGCAACAAGGTGTCGCCTGTGGTATATTGGTCTTTGCTGCCACGGTGTGTATGTGACAATACAAATGATCAATCAGGCTACTTTTGCATTTCAGTTGAATAGAACTCGGTAACGTATTCCAAAACAAACACACACGTAGCCTATGTGTCAATTGTCGCATTGACGTGTGTTGTAGAGAAAAAAAAATTGCGACACACACAAGAACAGTTAACGGTGATATGTGAATGTATTGAAGATATTGAAATGTTTTTGAAGTAGACATTTTGCCTTTCGTACGTAAAACCTTACAAATCATTATTATTATTTTTTTCAATTTTGATCGCGAAGAAATAATTTTGGAATAAATTTTTTATATCAAAATACTCTGTTGGGCACAAGGAATAAGACAAGCTATGTTGATTTGAAATCGAGTAAATTCCGTACAGTCTACTGCACATGTGACGTTTGTTTGCACGATAGTTGTGTGCGCGGCAGTTGTGTGTGATGTCAACTGTATTGCATCGCGATATGCTTGTGGCTTGTCTATTGGCCGAAGCATATTCAATGCTTGCTGCTAAGCAATAAAAATGCACATAGTACTCGAAAAAAGTATTCAAAATTACCATGGGCAGCAGCACAATGAAGAGGTGTCTCTTTCCTATTAGATTCACTATCAACATTGGCTCCTTTGTGGATGAGAAGTTCGGCGACACTCTTGTGACCTGAACAATAACACCGATCGATGGAAAAGATCAAATCAATCTTTTATTTAATGAAAACAAGTATTCAACATTACCATAGTCAGCAGCTAAATGAATAGCTGTGGTATTCAAATCATTTCCAATATTAGCGTTAGCTCCATTCTTGAGAAGCACATCAGCGACACCTCCGTGACCTTAAGTAATACGAATCAATGAAAAAATTAAACCAATTTCCCATTTAGTAGACATCACACACAACTCTGACACCCGTGTATATATGCTAGTCTGTTTTGTGTGTGAGTTGGTTGCGATGGCTGTATATGCGATGTTTGTTTGCACGATAGTTGTGTGCGCGGCAGTTGTGTGTGATGTCAACTGTATTGCATCGCGATATGCTTGTCTATTGGCCAAAGCATATTCAATGCTTGCTGCTAAGCAATACTAATGCGCATAGTACTCGAAAAGAGTATTCAAAATTACCATGGGCAGCAGCACAATGAAGAGGTGTCTCTTTCGTATTAGTTTCACTTTCAAGATTGGCTCCTTTGCGGATGAGAAGTTCGGCGACACTCTTGTGACCTGAACAATAACACCGATCGATGGGATAAAATCAGGTCAATCTTTTATTCAATAACAATAATTATTCAACGTTACCTTTCTTAGCAGCATAATGCAGAGCTGTCTCATTAAAATTATTTCCAATATTAGGGTCGGCTCCTTCAGTGATGAGGTCTTCAGCTTCCTTCACTTTGCCTGAAAGAATATGAAAAATATTCATAGATTGACATTGAAATGGATTGAACAAAGCATTCTTTTTTATAAAAAAAAATGTCCAAAATTACCAGCAAAAGCAGCTCTATGCAGAGCTGTCTCTCCATACATGTCTTTTTCGTTTACTAAAATATGTATGAAAAGTTTAGCATAAATGAGGTTCCTATTTCTTCGTTACAAGGTGCTTTGTATATGGAATTTGAGAGTTGAACTGGATAAATAAATGAAACTTCAATCTTACCGTTCCTCCCGGGTGGTGCTCCGCTCACATCCACGATTAAGAACTGTGGAAATAGAATCAAAGTGATACATTTGGAATGGGAACAACGGATGAGATTAATACATTATGTATTAGTAACAGTTTTCAACTGTTTTTAATAGAATAAAAGTTTCCGGTGGACATTTTTTTGGAATAGAAGAATTTTTTCAATTTAAGAACTTGAAAAAAGGACACTTTTCATTTTTTAAATTATTTCAGA